TGGAATGGGTCCATTAAAGGCGGCAAAGGCCAAGTCCGGGTTAGTTGTTGTGTTCCAGTGGAAGCTGTCCGGTTGTTTTGGATCATACAGCAGTTGCAAGCCAGCGGCTGAGGCCCAACTTTCAAGTGTTTCACCATCTGGATTAGTGGTCTGGTAGCCCCATGTGGTGCTATGGGAATTGAAATCTCCGCTATATATGCAAGGAGAGGCAAAGGCGGGAATGGAATTGCCTTGCAATTTTGAGCTTGGTGGTTTGTACACATTGACTACGGTGGTACCTTCAATTTCCGTTGCTGTCCATTCCACTTCACTGTCACTTTGCGATGAGTTGATCGGGTTCCAGGTGGCAGAGTTCTTCACAAAAGTGGCTATTCCATGTATGCTGCTGTTAGTGCAGGCAGCCAGGTTGTAACCAGAGATCTTGAGTTTGGAATGATCCAGTGAGTGGGTTTCCTGCAGGAGGATTGCTGTTGCATTGTGCTTTTCCATAAGGTGTTCTATGATTGCACATTTTGCTTTAGTAAGGCCTTCCACATTTAGCTGCATTATTGTCACTCCGGCCCATGCGACAGATGAATTTGTATGTCCTGATAAAGGCACGTGCTCTGGGCCGGTTCTTCTCACAGCTCTCCGGGGCCGAGGGTTTATTCTTTTACCACACCGGAGGGGGTTGCTGTCTCTGATTGTTGACATTCGCTCTACACATTTGTAGATTACCAGGGCTCACCACGTGGAGGTTGTCAACATGAACCCCAATTCGCTAATGAGTTGACTAAATGTCCCACAGAACTGAAATTGACATTTCTCCGCTCTTACATACATAAAATCTTGAATCTTCAGTCAAACGCTTCATGTACAATACAAACTATGAACATGTGATTGAAATAAAGCAACTTTGACTTCTCTCATTACAAAGTTGAAAACCACTGCCAACTATGACAAGACGATGGCATAACATCTTCCACATCACCATCTTCCAGTCCTACAGATTAATCTCTTACTCAGTTGCAGTTTAATTTTTGTAGTTGACTTCACTCGGATATTGCAAGGTGTTCAGAATTCCAAATAGGAACAAATAAATATTTACCCAGAAATGATGGATGTAGGCGGCCCGGTTGTCCAGTGGTTAGCACGTAGACTTCACAGTGCAGAGGTACCGGGTTCAATTCCAGCTCCGGCCTCCCTGTGTGGAGTTTGCATGTTCTCCCCGGGACTGCGTGGGTTTTCTCCGGGTACTCCGGTTTCCTCCCACATTCCAAAAACATGCTTGGCAGGCCGAGTGAACACTCTAAATTGTCCCTAGGTGTGTGTGTGGGCGTGGATGGTTGTTCGTCTCTTTGTGCCCTGCGATTGGCTGGCGACCGATTCAGGGTGTCCCCTGCCGACTGCCCAAAGACAGCTGGGATAGGCTCCAGCACCCCCCGCGACAGGAAGGCCGGAGCCGGAATCGAACCCACGACCTCTGTACTGTGAAGTTGACGCGCTAACAACTGGACCCCTGGGCCACCCTGCTTTGCACTTTAATTCAAACCACTTCTTCTGAAGATAGGCCAGGGTGGAGGCTTCAGGTGACATTGCTTTGATAGCATTTATAATAGAGGCCCAGATATCATTTTGGTTTGTCATTGACACTCCAATGGAAACGCGTGGAAAAATTATTTTCCTTGCCTCCACCTCTGACACAATAACGTCCCTTCTTTCTTCCAAGATTTTGGTGCCATCTCTCACAACTTCAAAACTCCTCGACAATCTTGTTTCGATACGTCAAACATATGTGTCACTATATAGATATTTTGGGATAATCTATCACATGGGAAGTCCCCCCCGCCCCCCACCCCTGCTCTGAAGTCGTGTTTTCGCCATGTTTGAATCAACAGCCATACCACTCCCTGGACCCACTGCACTTCCACTATCATTGCAGCAATCTACCAGCCTAAACACCATAAAGATTTTTTAACTGACTTTGATGTTTACCTGTCCCGTCTATTCACTCCTCCGTCCTAACATTAAACTGCTTGGCAATTTTAGTATTTACATGGAGATGTCCAAGAACACAATTTCATGAAAATTCTTATCCTGTTTCATGAACTTTGGTCTATGACAGGGGTAGGCAACTCTGATCCTAGAGAGCCGCAGTCCTGCTTGTTTTAGAAGTGTCCTATTCCAATGCACCTGATTCATATGATCAGGATCATTATCAGGCTTTTACAGAGCTTGCTGATGAGCTGTTCATTTGAATCAGGGTGAAGGAAGAGGGAAACTTTGAAAACAAGCAGGACTGCTGCTCTCTTGGACTGAAGTTACCTACCAGTGATCTGACAATTTATCAACTTTCCCATGCAGTAATCAATATAAGGGACATACCCTGTTTGTTTGTTTGTTTGTTTGTTTGTTTGTTTGTTTGTTTGTTTATTGAACATATATAAAACATACAGTAACATGACAAAATGCAAACAAAAATTATGAAAGGAAAATAAAAGTAAAAGTAAGTAATACAAACATCATCACAGTTATATGTTCAAAGGAGTAGGAAGAAGTATACCACTTATCTAGTCCTACCCCTTTTTGAGCAATAATGTATATTGATCATTTCCAATACCAAAGAAAAAGAAGAAATCTAAATTTCATCAAATACTTTTACCCTGGATCTAGTCTGCAGTTTTAGCATCACTTCAACTGACTTCAATTCTGGCTCATTCCCTTTTTCCAGATCACAGGCTCATAACCTTTTCTGCCAATCTAAACTATTCCAAAATCGCACTCCCCTCTGTAATAACTTGCCGCAAAATAAAGAACATCATCCTGGACACTCTCCACTTTTATCAGCAGCCCCCAATTTTGGATTCTCGCTCCACCCCTGATGAACTGGTGACACACTACTGTTAGGTCTCTGGAATAATCCAGAGAGAGGTGGATTGCACAAGTGTAGACACAGATTAGGTTTTGACAAAAAAACTAGTGTGTCGAAGCTTCGAAGCATGTATCGAGTAATGAAGGGACGTATGCATACCGGTACATTAATTCTGGCTGTGCTTGCATCTTCTGCCTCCAAGATGCGCGTGCAGCCAGATTATTGACTGATCTATTGTCTCATGCCGTGGGTTGTCAGAATGGAAAGAGCACACACAGAGATCTAGTCTTTTATAGAATTCCTGCTGGTAAACACCCCTTTCAGAAAAAAACGGCGAAAGTTATGGTTACAAGCTTGACGACGTGAGAATGCAACGCGCCCAGTACGGCAACGCAAGCGATCCTGGAGAAGCCGGCGGGTGCCCCGGGGAGAGTTCTCTTTTCTTGGTGAAGGGCTGGGCGCGCGCCGCGGCTGGGGGAGCAGCCGCCCTGCCGCCCGCCCCTCGCCACAACCTACTTGCCAGTGGCAGTTCTAGGAGGGGGCCAACGGGGGCCAGTGCCCCTGTAGCACTGACTCTGGCCCCCCCTGTGGCCCCCCCTCCGAACGTAGATTACGCAGTGGCGCAGAGTTGCAGACACGAAAGGTGGAACCAAAGTGCGTGGCTTAACATTCTAGTCGGACCCTTTAGTGTGCTGCACCACTT